CTGCACTCATTTTTACTATCGTCCTATTACAGGCAAAAGTTGACACTTAAGTGAATGATGTGAATGACATTTTCGTCATTCACAACAATTATTTATTTTTCGTCCTTTCTTTGCTTCACTCTTTTCATTCGTATGAACGCTTGCCCAAAACCCTTAACATTCTTGTTCAACGCGATTCGACTGCCATGCTCCGCTATGAATTTTGATTTTTTTCAAATCCAATACTCCCTTGTAGTAATTCTTACGACCGTCATGTGGTATGTCAACTCCGCCCACTATTCGACAATTCGTGCCTCTCTCCTCGGTCCATGGATACCTACTACGGTACGACAACCCTTGATAAATTCTGCTACAACTATCTATTTATTTTACAGTTAATATTAGAGAGCTTCTAAACGCGAGCTTGCGACGATTTGATGCATGGACGTGATTCGGTGGATTCCATTCACTCTCTCTCTCTCTCACCTTTTCGATCCGGTCCATCTTACTACTATCTTGCTGCAGAGTTGACTGTGAGTACTACTACTCTTTACCTCTGGTTCTGTCAAAACAGTTTTCTTTTCGCCTTTGTCCGGTTGGCAAGGTGTAAGTTTCCCTGTCTTGTTTGTTTTTAATGCTGCCGCTGTAATGCAGCAGAAGCATTGGATAGATGTATGTCTTTGGCTTCACGGATGTGGCTTTGGTCTCTCGACGATAAAAATAGTGTCTCAAGCGAGGGATCGATTCCTTTTTGTTTCCTCTTTCGTCTTTTCATAGACAGAATTTCCTGCAAATATGATACAAAGAAATCCCATTGTATCAACGCAGATACTAGTTTTTCTGTTATTACTTTCAGTGACGACGGATGTTGTGACTGCAGAACAGAAACTCCGCCAAATTCATGTCATTACACGCCACGGGTCACGAACGATGCTTCCGAAAGACCCCGATTCGTTACTAGAAAAAGAGGGAGCGACACTGACACCCTTAGGACAACTGCAGCTGTTCAGTGTAGGAGAATGGCTACGACAAGAATATGGCAGTGCCATTGATTTGCAATATTACAATCCATCCATTCATCTTTTAGAATCGAGCAACTTGGACCGCACCCTCTCGTCGGCAAATGCCTTGGCCTTGGGGTTATTTCCGGAATCACAACGTGCTACGGGAATCATGGTGGAAGACGGCGACAACGAACCAACTTTTGCATTAATGACATCACCGTTGGAAACTACACCTGCCATTCCTGTGTTCAGTACAAACGAAGACAACGATGTGCATTTACGAGCCTTTAGAAACTGTCCCACTTTTCAAGACAATCTGCAATTGCTTTATGAAACAAATGTATGGAAACAACTGGAAAGCAACAATGAAGCCTTGTTGAGAAAATTGGCTGCAATCTTCCCATTATATGCCGAAGAGGGAAAAGTCCCTCTCAAAGACATATGGAACATCTACGATGCGCTAAATGTGGCCGTGACGGAATGTTCCGAGAATAGTACCACCTGCGAGGCCTTGGTGCCTCTGCCGTCCTTGGCCACAGCATTGTCAGGGCAGGATTTTGCCGCTTTAGAGTTGGTGACACATCAAGTGGAGCATTTGAAATATGCAGAAACAGAAACAGCCGGCAACTTGCTAGGATCCAACTTATTGTGGAAGATTTTGGAACGAGCCAGCGACGAAGAAGATAACGGTGTCTTCTACTTGTATTCGGCACACGCGCCCACAATCTTGGGCCTATTGTCCACGCTGCAAGCGGCAGGAGATTTTGTATCAGTTACACGCGGGGAACGATTTGTCGATTACGGCGATGCACTCGTTTTTGAAGTGTACGAAGAACTGGGTGCCGGTGGTGTCACCAAAACACTCTCCCTAAAACTCAAGTACAAATCTTTGGCTCAATCTAACTCCGTATCCATTCCGCTCAAACAGAGCGTCAATCCCGAGCCTTGTGGTGGAGGAGACGATGATGATTTCACAAGTATTTGCGATTTGGAAGAATTCACATTATGGTCTCTTCAACATACACTGATTGGGATAGAACATTGGTGCGAGGCATGCGGTAACGTATACTCGGATGTGTGCTTGCGGGCCAAGTACCTAACCGAAGGAGGGCAGCCCATTAGCGATGGTGATTGGAACAGGTTTGACGATCGGGAGGTTTCCAATGGCATCCAGATGAACATCCCGACGGATTCAAGCAATCAGAACGACGCCTTGATTTTGGCAGCAACTTTTCTGGGTGGATTATTGGCTGGTCTCTTCATTATGATGTTGATTGGTTTTTTATGCGTATTGCCCCGGATAAGAAACAAGGAAGTTCCATCACCGCCATCCGACAAGGATGGTTTGTCCATACCGTCACCAGCAGAAGTCGCCACTGAATCAGCCCCATCAAATAACATTGACAATCGTGAAGAATTAGCCAATGATGATGCTTCCCTCAGTACAACCGGAACGGACCATCTGTGCTAGCTAGCTGGAAAGCTTTTGACAGAAGAAACTATCAATAATACTGTGGAATGCAGGTACTACTTTTACAGCTACCAGGTATATTGTCTTTTTCTCCGGTGTTGAATCAATCCACCGCATTTACAGTTACCGTAGTACGAGACTATTCAATTCACCAGACCCCCATGCTCACTCGTCCAGGTATACGGTACGTCGTATCATACCGGTACCGTAGTACGATGTCGTACGGTATGTAGTAGTGAGTCGTTCGGGTCACGCGATTAGGATGAGGTTGCGCATACGTTTTCTGACGTCATCGCGCGTCATAGTAGAATCTGTTCAGCAGAGAGTTGTGTGCTTCCGATGGAAGTGATGGAAATTTCCTAATGAGATCTTTTCGTCGGTCATCACCATTCACAGTCAGCCATCAGCGATCTTTCCGATCAGCCGACTGGCAACTGGCAACCCTTCTACACACCACACAAATAATACAAGTACAAAAAAAGTGGCGACGACGACGACGACGACGACAACAACTTGTTGCCAAAAAAATACTATTACTACTAATATCTTTTCGTTTCATTCGCATTTTGCTGCCGTTTACTGTATAAACACAGTCAAATCACAGTATTCACAACCATCATGATGTTCCGCAAAAGCTTTGCCGCTCTTCTCTTGACCTTGTCATCGTCTGTCGATGGCTTTGTGCCTCGTTCGATGATGGCATCTTCTCCGTCGACACTTGGTGTGGCCACAGATCCAATCAAGAGCGAAGAGCTCGTCACTAAGGAAGCTAACATTAAGTCCACTCGTCGTACCAAACCGACGCTAGATCCGTTGAATCCAGAGTTCGAACGCATCCAGTCCGTCCCATACAACGAAGCCTTCCCTCAATCGACTAAGGAATATAAAACCGTTACTCACGAACCGACCGGGCATGTCATGCACATCCCTTTTCGTCGTGTGCACCTCGAGGACGACGCTTTGCCATATCTAGACTTGTACGACACCTCCGGTCCACAGGGATACAATCCCAAGGAGGGAATCCCGAAACTTCGTAAAGAATGGATCGCCGAACGCGAAGGCAAGTTTGAGCGTTACACCCAGATGCATTTTGCCAAGAAGGGCATGATCACCGAAGAAATGTTGTTTGTAGCCGAACGTGAAGGCGTCGAACCGGAATTTGTTCGCTCTGAAATCGCTCGTGGTCGTGCCATCATTTGCTCCAACAAGAAGCATTTGGAACTCGAACCTCAAATCATCGGACGTATGTTCAAGGTCAAGATCAATTCTAACATTGGGAACTCGGCGATCACCTCCTCTATTGAAGAAGAGGTGGAAAAGTTGCAGTGGAGTACATTGTGGGGCGCCGATACCCTCATGGACTTGTCGACCGGTAAGCACATTCACGAAACCCGCGAATGGATTTTGCGCAACTCGCCGATTCCCGTTGGTACCGTCCCCATTTACCAAGCCTTGGAAAAGGTGGATGGTATTGCGGAGGACCTCAACTGGGAAGTTTTCCGTCAAACTCTAATTGAGCAGGCCGAACAGGGTGTCGACTACTGGACCATTCATGCCGGTGTCCTCCTGCCTTACGTTCCAATGACGGTCAACCGTTTGACCGGTATCGTCAGCCGCGGTGGATCCATCCATGCCAAGTGGAATATCTTCCACCACAAGGAAAACTTTGCCTATGAGCATTGGGACGATATTCTCGATATCTGTGCCCAGTACGACATTGCCCTATCCATTGGTGACGGTCTCCGTCCTGGATCCATCTACGACGCCAACGATGAGGCACAATTCGCTGAGCTCAAGACACAAGGCGAATTGACTCGACGTGCTTGGGAAAAGGATGTGCAAGTGATGAACGAGGGACCTGGACATGTCCCCTTGCACAAAATTCCCGAAAATATGCGCAACCAATTGGAATGGTGTAACGAGGCACCGTTTTATACCTTGGGTCCCTTGACAACTGATGTAGCTCCTGGATACGATCACATCACTTCGGCCATTGGTGCGGCCAATATTGGTGCTCTCGGAACGGCTATGCTCTGCTACGTCACCCCCAAGGAGCATCTTGGACTCCCCAATCGTGACGATGTCAAGGCCGGTATCATCGCCTACAAGATTGCTGCGCACGCCGCCGACTTGGCCAAGGGCTTGCCCGGAGCCCAAGACCGTGACAATGCTCTGTCCAAGGCTCGTTTCGAATTCCGCTGGAACGACCAGTTCAACTTGTCCCTGGATCCCGTGACTGCCCGCGCCTTTCACGACGAGACCTTGGACAGCGAAGCTTCCAAGACCTCGCATTTTTGCTCCATGTGCGGACCCAAGTTTTGCTCCATGAAGATCACTGAAGATGTCCGTCAATACGCCGCTGAGAATGGATACGGTGTCGAAGAAGAAGCCATCCAAAAGGGTATGCAAGAAATGAGCGAAAAGTACAAGGAGATGGGCAACAAACTCTATTTGGACGACATGGAGAACGTTGTCAACCCATTGGCAGACTTGAGTCCCTAAACGGAAGAAAATTTCGACTGGATATTATGTGACAATAAGGGTCGCATTTTGTTTGCGGGAGCTGATGCTGAGATTCCTAAAAGTAAACCGATGGATATTGGATCGATACGGCGGTTGCGATTGCGATGTCTTTGTGTTTTACTTTTGGGGAAACCGCAGAACCTGATCATGATAATACATGCGTGAGGAAAAACAAAAACGACCTTTGGAAAAAGAAAATTGGAGAAGAACATTAAAATTATTGATACGAGACAAAACAATATGTGGAAAATGGATGGATTCGGAATGCTCATGAATAATATTATATTCTTTTGGAAGTTTATTGGCGGTGAAAGTTCTACATTCTTTTCCTCTAAGTTAAACATTACTTTGTCTTGATCTTTTGATTTATTCTCATTACAATGCCATGCAATATGCGCTGAAGATCAATTGAACTGTCGGAGTACCGGTAGTCTAGAGTAGTCTGGTAAAAGTAGGACGTCGTACTAACTGTAAGTACCGTAGTCTACTTGGAATATTTGGAACACGCCTCAGTCACCTTCGACTCAAGCGACTTTAAGATTCGAAACGAACCCGGATACTCCAACATCATTTCTTACTCTCTACTACTCTACTACCGGTAGTAGAGTAGTAGAGTCGTTGTATGTCATCTGACTGTGAGATTTTTTGCCTGTCGGCCGTCGATGGGGCAGCAGCAAAATTGCTACTCTACGACAGTGTTGCTTCTAGAATACCCGAATAGCGTCACGAGAATTCACGAATGATCCATAAACGATGCTAATCAAAGAAATAATCGAGAAAGTGAACGATGATCTTGTGAAGGACGACAATGCACTTTCAACGACGGATCCAAACCAGGACGCCGTTCCAGAAATCAATGAACTTGGAACACGGTTACAAAATGAAGTCTCCATTCATGGTGAATTCCCACCGAATATTCTCGTATGTGACGCTGGTTATGGTTTCCCAAGAGAAAATCGTCCGTTTCAAGAAAAATTGAAGGCAATTTCCAACCAGCTGGCCAATTTTCTCCAGTGGCAAATGGAGGAAGACAGATCCGCCTCGAATGATCGTTCATTTGCACGCATACAGGTCGTAGGATGTTCCAATGAACGAACGAGGTTGGATCTGCAAGAAAAGTTGTTGGAAAAGTTGCATTCATCTACTCTTCCTTCCCACGTGGAAATCACATGCCAAAGTTTAGAAGATTTCCTGTCCAGTGGGCCAGCAGTGTCCTCGAACAACGACGAGCCAGTTCCGGTATATCTCTCCCCCGACGCGGACGAAACATTGGACCCACAGATGAAACCGCCGAGGGTTGTTGTGATTGGACTGTTGATTGATCGAAGAATTCAGCCTAATCGAAGCAAAGATCGCGCATCCAAACTACATATCGTGTCCAAACGTTGGCCATTGGAAGAGTGTTTCTTGGAGATTTCTGCAAATGAACCTTTGAATGTGGATTGTATCCTGGAAGGGATGCAGCAGTGGTGGTGGAACTGCGGAAATGCCGAAGCAGTTGGATCCAAAGAAAATTTCATTCAAGCTGCCTCACAAGCCATCAACCATCATGCTCAACGGCATCCATCGAGGCCTCTTCATATTCCCGGTTCGAACAATCATGATGATGTGTAGTGGCCGATTAAATAGAATAGTGCTTACAACGATGGGGCAATCTGCTTACAGTTAGCTGTAAGTTTACGACGTAGATACGGCTTTTTACAGTGAATAGGTAGTTTGTTCTGTTGTACGACTTTAAGGAAGGATGATTGACGGCTTGGACATTTGCGGGTCTGGAAAGAGCCCGGATCCAGTCTGTCCGTCGCGGTGCATCATCCATGAATGTGGAGTGTGTTCATGATGTCAGCATTTCGACCGACCTCTGCCTCCGCCACTTGCTATGGCATCCCACAACCCACAACAACCCAATACCATCGTTGACACCGAGGACTGTGGAAAGCATCACAATCAATCAATCCTGCCTTCCTGCTGTTGGAAAAGACCCCAATCACTCTCCTCTCTGTCTCCATTTTCCGATTATTGATCGAATGAAAGGCCACTCGTCATCTGCCAACCCTATTAGCCATTTCCAACTGTGGCTACTTCCATTTGTTATCATGTTTTCTGTAACATTCCTCAAATCGGGAGCTCGAGCCTTTACGGCACGGTCGAATATGGTCTGGAAGCAGCCTGAAGTGACAACAACAGCAGCAACAATATCGTCGAAATGTATGCCAGCAACACCATCCGTTGTTCGGTTATTCATGAGCAATACGCAAGAGCCGGACACCACCGTGGTGGACGTGTGCACGGCCAAAATCAAACAAGCGTTGGAAACGGATAATGTCAAGGTAGTGGGTGCTTACGATGATCCCAATGGATCTCACATTTCGGTCGAGGTCGTCTCGGCCATGTTCCAAGGTAAACGTCCGGTCCAACGACAACAACTAGTGTACAAGGCTATTTGGGAGGAATTACAAGGGCCCGTGCATGCTGTGGACAATATGATTTGCAAAACACCGGATGAATAAATCCAAAACTAATCAAATGTTTTTTGAAAAGGATGTAATTGTCGAAATGGAAAAGAGATTTTGTTCTTTACCTATGTTTCCCTGTCTGTCCACATCAATAATAGCAGAGTACTATGATCAGTCGCCTTGACATCATCTCTATCCGAGTCCAAATGTCTCAACGAACTACTCCGTAAGTGATAATAGCTGTCTGCTACTCCGCACTATCTGTAGTTTCAAAGCTAGCTAGTACTAAGTCGGAGGTATTTGATAAGAGATTCACACTGCATCACAGCCAACTCGTTGTAATTCTCACTGGGAATGACCCCTAACTGTAAACATCATTACCCCCAGTAACTCCCCCGATTCTGAAACTACGTCATCGACTCGTCATTTCCGTCAAATATCTACTCCGCGTACCGGTACAGGTAGTCTACCACGGTAATACCGTATCTATCTTCTTTGATGATCGTCTCACACTCTACACAACGAAGAATGATGGATGGATTGATGGATTGATATCATTCCTTCATTCTCGTTCTCCTAACGACGACGCTGCTACACGGGCGATAAATTTGAAAGACAAGACATTCGCAACTCCAAAATAGAGCTCACAGAAATACCATGAGAACACTATCAAAGATTTCCAACGTTTCGCTCGCTGTCTCCACTGTTGGGATATTCTTTTGCTATCAGTCGCCATGTCACGCATTTGTTCCGATGATGAGTCGATCATCGTTGGAATCGATGACGAGAACAAAGCCATCATCCCTTGAGACTTGGCATGGACAATCCCGCTATCCGATTGGATCGTCGAAAGTTCCGACCCAAACAACAATGTTGTTTGCCACAGAGAAAGGACAAAATATCGAGAATTCCTCAAACTTTTCCTTTAATCCGCTCTACGGGGCATTGTGGGCAACATTCCTCGCGTACGGAATCTTTTTCAGTCCGGGAGAAATGCTGGATGCCTCCGATACGAAACTTATCGAAACTTTGATTGGCGATCCGTCCAATGCCAATGGAGTTATCAATTCTCTCTTTTTCGTCGTCTTCAATGCCTTGGGTATCATGCCAATTGTCATGGCTCAATTGGCACTCCCCCAAGGCTCGTCCAAGGGCGTCTGGGCGGCTCCCTTTGTTCTTGCATCGTTTGGAGCAGGATTTGGTGCGTTGGGTTTGTACTTGACCCTTCGTGCGCCACCCGTCGAGAACAAACGCAAATCTGAAGCCTCCTGGATTACCGCCAACGTTTTGGAGAGCAAACTTTTCAACTGGATCACTGTGATACTCTGTGGAACCGTAGTAGCATCTTCTGGAATACTACTTGCGGTTGGTGGAGATGGCTGGAGTACGGTTTGGGACAATTACCTACAATTGGCATCCACTTCCAAGTTGGTATCCGTGTCGTCGGTCGATTTGCTGATTTTGACAGTCAGCGCAGCCACATTGGTTCCTCGAGATTATAGCTTGCGGACATCAACGGACGACGGTAAGGGCAATGTTATAGCTGCAGCAACAACGCTTTTGCCAGTGGTAGGTGCTGCATTGTATTGTGCCCTTCGTCCGCCATTACCAGACAGCGACAGCAGCAGTAATACAGACTTTAACAAGGAAAACGACAGTACGGGGACTCGAAGGAGATTTTTCAACGTTGGCGCAGCCTTGCTGTTGAGTTCAGGAACAGTTTTGTCTACTGAAAGCTCACCAGCAAAAGCTGCTTCTCAAGAAGAGCTGGACAAGGCCAACATCGTCAAAGGGTACCAACGTTTGCAATATCTGTTGGACAATTGGGAAAAAGAAACGACTGTTTGTGGAATGGGTGGTGACAAACTGGAACGGTCGTGTGAACGGACACCGCTAAAGGTGATGGATTATCTCGGCTACAAAGCAACGAATGATCCTCTGTTCAAAGCCGAAAAGACATTGCGACGATTGTACCCCCTGGCTCCTGCCAGTCGTGATGTCGATTTTATTGAAGCTGTAGACCGATACGTGGAAAATGCCGACGAAGCTTCCGGTATGGCGTACATATCGAGCTGGGGCGAAGCCAATCCCGGTGGAGGCAAGGATCGAGTGGAACTGTTCATTGAACGAGCGCGGAAGAATGTTATTGTGGCCCGTGATAGTCTTGCCACTGTCATTGAAATCTTGGGGTTATAGCCAAAAGAAAGGAGGCGTGGAAACGGATTTGCAATTTAACTGTGGATAATAATGAGCAGTGGGATTTATGGCCCATCAGTCGACTGGTCGAATACTCCTGACGATACCAGACAAAAGTTCATCGGAAGCAATGTCATACTACTAGAATGCGTAAAATATTCAGGTCATACTTCTTCTAGTTTCAACATCTTTGGTGCAGATTTGCAGGACTTGATTTGCCGGGATACTTCGAATGTATCGAGAGGCATCACCATTCAACCAGTACTTCGTGTACTGGAATGTTTTCAGTACGAAGGAAAAGACCAAAAAAATCACGCGCTATCATACATTTCAAGACCGTTATTATTTACTTCGTGTGTGTTTGAAAGAACAATTATCCCTAACCCCGATGGATTTGATCGTCATTTGTTGAAGGCATCATCGTTAAAAAGTCGAAGTGGCCGTTCCCCTCTCTCATGTTTGTATCAACATCACTTCTCAAAGCCATCTTAACATTCAGAAAGACCTTTCGTAGGCTACCCAGCGGCTGCAATC